CGATCACGGATTGTGCAAGTAACAGGTCCTGTACCGGTCTCACGGTGTAGCTGTTGGTTGGATACATGGTCCCGCCAACTGTACCCCATGATCCGGCGCAGGGATCTGTTACAAAAGGCATCGAGACGAGATTCCAAAGCACAAGATAGCGTCCAAGTTTCACTACCATATAGTAAAACTGGAAGTATCAGGGCCTTGAAAACTCGTAGCTTGGTCCTTCTGCACAGGTACCGGCATCTCCAAATACTCTTGTCGAGAGATTTCATGACCCCTGCTGCCAGGCCAATCCGTCTACTGACTTCCTGGTCTGACAGCCCAGAGTCATGAACTGCACTACCGAGGTATATAAAACTCCTAGTGACTTCGATGTTTTCACCGCAAGCACGGACCAACTGCACAGGGTCTCCTAGTAGGCCCCCAAAATCCTGGATCTTGGTCTTGGTCCAGGAGACCTCTAGCCCCAGGGGCTTCGCTTCATTGCTAAATGCATCAAGAGCCGCTACTAGGGTTTCCAGAGATTCAGAAAGAATGGCAACATCATCAGCAAAGTCAAGGTCTGTAACCTTGATATTGCCCAGAGTTGCTCCACAGTGACTTTGGACAGTAGCTCTACCCAGTATCCAATCCATGCAAGTGTTGAAAAGTGTTGGTGCAAGGACACAGCCTTGCCTCACGCCTGAGCTAACAGGAAAGAAGCTCGACAGGCCCCCACCACACTTTACAGCACTTTCAGTGCCTGTATACAAGTTTGCTATTAGCCCAACAATCCTTGATGGAATTCCTCTCAGTCTCAGGATCTCCCAGAGTGATTCGCGATGCACCGTGTCAAACGCCTTCTTGAGGTCGATGTAGGCTGCAAGCAGCCCACGTCCGAACTCACGACGGCGCTCTACAATGACTCGAAGCGCCAGGATGCGGTCTATTGTGGACTTACCAGGAGTGAATCCAGATTGCTCCGGTCTTTGGTGCCTCAGGAGGTGGTCTCTGATACGTCTCAGTAAGATGTGGGTGAGTACCTTGCCTGGCACACTGAGCAGTGTAATGCCTCGGTGATTGCTGCAGTCCCACCGATCCCCTTTCCCCTTCCAGAGAGGGATGACCATACCCCTCAGTAGGTCAGGGGGAATGGTACCGGTCTGCCAGATGGCAGACAGGACTGCATGCAAGCCCCTTGCCATAGGTTCTCCACCAGCCTTTAACAATTCAGCTGGGATGCCGCAGACACCTGCTGCTTTACCACTCTTCAGCTTGGAGATCGCCCCCCTGACTTCAGTCAGGGAAGGTGGATCCTCGCTGATGGGTGGGTCTGGCAGAGGAGTCTCAACATTCCCAGCATCCAAGTTAACTGTTGGTGGATCAACCTGATACAACTGCTCAAAATACTCAGCCCAACGCACACGCACCCCATCAGGATCTGAGATTACCTGACCACTCGCTGAGCGGACTGCCGTCGTCTGTGAGGAGGGCTTGGAGTTCAGCTTTCTCAGAGCTTGGTAGGCAGGACGAAGGTCATTTACTAGGAAACGGCTTTCGACCTCCTCTGCAAGATTACTGATATACTGTTCCTTATCCCTTCTCAGCAGTGACCTAGTCCTGCGCGCCAGAGAACGGTGCAAATTGCGATCCCCTGACAATCGAGCTGCACGGCAAGCTTCTGTGGCTTCCAGTGTCTCTTGCGAGATGGTATTCTGTCTTGCTCTAGGGCGTACACCAATGGATTCCTGAGCTGCATCAAGCGTTTCACGCTTGAAGGAATCCCACATAACAACAGGGTCTGTCAGGCCCTCGAGTGCTGTGAACCGACCAGAGATAGCCTCAGCAAACCCCCGGGCACACTCATCCTCCCTCAGTCTGTCCAGATGAAACACCCTGGGGTGCTCATTTGGTCGACGGGGGGTTTTAAAGTGGACCCGGAGAGTAGCCACAACTAATCTATGATCAGTTCCACAGAACTCGGCGCTTCGATACACCCTGCAGTTCTGGAGGATCCTCCACCGAGTGCTGACGAGGATGTGGTCGATCTCCTTGGCCACCCTACCCGTATCGCTGTACCAAGTCCAGCGATGCGGGTCAGAACGCTGATACCAGGAGCCAGAGATCCTCAATTTCTGGGACCTAGCAAAGTCACGGAAAAGGAGGCTATTCTCGCTGCCAGCATCAGCTCCTGAGCCATGGGGACCGACAGACATCTCGTAGCCAGCTCGATCACATCCGGATACCGCATTGAAGTCGCCCAAAACAATACGAATATCTCGCCGAGGACAACTGTCTGCCACAGATGCAAGTTTGGCGTAGAACATCTCTTTCACCTCAAGTTTATATACATCCGTAGGAGCGTACACAGCAATAAGAGACATGAAGCCAAATGACAGCTTCAGTCTCAATACCATTATACGCTCATCGACTGGAGTGACCTCTACTACCGAGGGTTGAAGTCGGCTGGAGATGGCTATGGCTACTCCCTGGAGATGGTGGCCATCGCTGCGGCCCGACCAGTAGTAAGTGTAGCCACCCACACTAATCGTGCCGCTGCCAGGTCTTCTCACCTCCGAGAGAGCAACCACCTCAACTCTCAGCCGCTTCAATTCCCTCGACAGTAGTGGTAACCGATCATCCTGTCGCAGGGAACGGACGTTCCAAGCCCCCACCCTAACAGCCCGCCTGAGGTTTAACCTCTGGCAGTCACTCCGGGTGGGCGCCACCTCTGCCACCCCCACCGACGCCGCCCCATATAGAGGTTGGCTGGCTGCAGGTCCCCTAATCCACCTGCAGGGCTCCCGGGGGCTTTCCCCCACAAGCATCACGCCAGGCTGGCGGCCGCTGGGACCCAGAGGGGATGAAGGGTAACCCCCCCTCCCCGCCTGAGTCCCAGCGGTCGCCAACCCAGAGGGACCCACAGCCTGCCGTTCTTGCTGGGTAGGAGGGGCTTTAGCCCTCCCCCCAGCACCAACTTCTTTATGTTTCGTTGCCAGTTTGGTTGTCTCGGAGGGGCAGACTGGCAAGGCCTGCCCCCCCACAGCCTCCCCTTAACCCCGGGGGGCACGGGGGCAGGAGTTGGTACGAAGCCAGGGCGTGTCCACACGCCGGTGGGCCATGACTCCGGCGTGTTCAATAAATATATATATATATATATATATATATATATATATATATATATATATATATATATATATATATATATATATATGTATGTATATGTATGTATGTATATGTGTATGTGTGTATGCGTGTGTATGTATATATATATATATATATATATATATATATATATATATATATATATATATATATATATATATATATATATGTATATATACATATATATATATATATATATATATATATATATATATATATATATATATATATATATATATATATATATATATTCTGTGTAGATACTATGGTAGTAAAAAACTAATGCAAAGACTAGAATTATTATAAAAAATACATATATACATATATATATATATATATATATATATATATATATATATATATATATATATATATACACATATATATATACATATACATATACATACACACACACACTTATATACACACACATAAGCATGTGACTTTAGTATCTTACAGAGAGGTGACAAGAGATCTCATTTGTTTCCCAGGCTTTTATTCTGCCTAGAGGAGATTGGGGTACATGTTATAAGTTGTCTAGACTCGTTTGCATCGTACGCCGCTATAACGACGAAAGGTGATTTCTGTACCACACGTCATACTTCACTACCATTACTTTGCAACGTATAAAGTCAGTTTCATTAGACTTTGTGTGTCGTTTAATAGTTCCTTCACACCAAGAAAGAAGCCTTAAATAGTTATATAATTAATTACTTGGAATGAACATAACCGACTGTTAATATGCTTTGTGAGGCAATAATAATGGTCATTTACGTCGTTATACGATATTAACTGGATTAGCTACATTATAACACGTAAAGCACTAACAGAGGTGAACATCTTTATACAAATTACGTATGATACTAAGTGTTGAAGTG